AGAGAGGGCTGAAAGCCCTATGAAGCGGTATATAAGTCCACCTGCTATTGCTATATTTGATGTGAAAATGGTTCATCTGTATAATTTCAATTGGCTGTTCAAAAAAAGATGAGACAGTGACGATATTGTCGATATGGATATGAAAAGTGGAAAAATAATTATTTGAGGACATGTTCAACTATGCTATCTTGCTTCTACAAAAACACAATTAAAAGTACGGTAATAATTTGGTATCACTTTGTTCTTCTCTACAATAGTGATACTAATCTAACTGAGCCTCCCAAGTGAAGCCAAGCAATGTAACTGAGCCATGAAGTGACACTTCTGAGATTTACCACCAAGTCCAGGCCAGGAATCTTGACAGTCAGGACGAGGGAGATCAAAATTATATATATAAAAAATTCCCACTGAGATTTGCAGTTTTGAAACTGTCCTTAGGCAAGCCATCAAACTCTACCAAAGGATGGCAGAGATACACATTATAAACTATAAAGTTTGCACAAAGTCAAAGATTGTGTAAAGTCAAGATCTTAAAAGGTTATTTTTTTTTCTATTTTTCCACTTTGAAATATGTTTCCGAGACCATAAATATCCAACAGTTCCCAACAATTCATAGCACCCCAGGGTGAAGCAGAAGTGGCTTATGCAGACACTGTGCAGCATTGATCTTTTATGTTTTGTGGGGCTTTAGGGAGAAGGAATATCTGTTCTCTTCCCTGGTTACGTGAATGGATTTTATTCTCTCCTAGGAAAAATAAAACGCTGTTATTTCAAGACACTATTGGGCTTAAGAGGAATCCTATGATCAGAAGGAAAGTATCTCCTTGACATGGTTTGGCTTCTTTCAGTTGTCTTCACTGGTGGTGCTAGGCAGGAAAAGGCTGAAGGGTACAAATTCAGTGCCATATAGATCTCTTAAAGGAAGGCCAGATTGTTGTTGTTTAAATTTATTTAAATTATTTAAATTTATGCATGCCAGCATCTTTGGGTGGTTTTGTTCTGAACCAGGCTTTCTTAGAATGCAAGAAGCAAAGGCTTCTTTTATTTGAATTCCTTTCATTCACAGTCAGCAAGACTTAGCAAACAGTCTTTCAGAGGAATCTACACGCACCTTATCTCATTTGGAGCGCTGCCAGATCACTAGTTTTACAAACACAGGGCAAAGCCTCTTTTATTTGAATTCCTTTCATTCACAGTCAGCAAGGCTTAGCAAACAGTCTTTCAGAGGAATCTACACGCACCTTATATCATTTGGAGCGCTGCCAGATCACTAGTTTCCAAACACAGGGCAAAGCAAAATTTGGCACAGAGTCTCTTACAGTCACCAAACAGAACTTTCCACTCTTGACCCGAATGAATGAACTAATTGTTACGTGCAAAAGCCCACTCCCCGTTCGTTCTTCTTTTGTTTCCTATGGGAAGGGCAAATTACTTCCAAGGTGTGGCTTTACTCTTACGTTGACCCTGCTTTCTTAGCTGCTCTTGTCTCCTGGCAGCTCTGTGCACACACACACTGGGAACAGGCTCCAGCTGTTCTTCTGCCTCACTGCTGTCTAACTCCCTCTCTGCCTCTGACACAGAGCCCTCGTCTGAGCTTTCCTCAACCCCCAGGACTGGCCCATGTTCCTCCTCAACCTCCTCACTGTCTGACTCTGCTGCCAGCTCTGTGGGCCACAACAGGTTTACAAATGATTTACAACATAGAAACAAGACAATGAAAAAAGAAATTAAAAAGGGTAGAGATAGTAGAATAACAAATCAACTGGAAACAAACCAATAACAACAACAAAAACTAAGTTAAAAGGAGGCTTCAATTATCACACTAGGAACTCAAACCAACCTATGAAATGTCTGTCTTCCCATTTTTTCTACAGCAGTTAAGGAGATATTTAGGATAATTTTCCCAGAATACTGACAAATTTGGCAGCATCACCAAATGCCTTATGATTTTCAATCTCTTCTTATCAATATATCCCCTTGCATTGGTATTTATGGAGTTGCAAATAAATAACAATGAATAAATTCAGGAAAGAAGAATCAGTGGATATAAAAGAGAATACCCTTCATCACTGCAGTTTTAGAAAACGGTAGAGTGCTCAAAAGAAGAGGGATGTATTGTGTTTGTTTTGTTTCCTTTTTCTTTGTTTTGCTTTCTGAAATGATGCTAACATTTAATTTTTTCTATCATTGTTTATCTATAATCTTGTTCGACTTGTTCTTTAAAGCCATAATGGGAGATTGGAGGGGGGGGGGTTACTTTTGCATGAAAAATAAACACAGAGACACAGAGAGCAAATGCCATCTAACCATGTCAAAACATTATGACATTTTCTATTGATGTATTCACTAATGAATAAACTCTCACTTTCGGAATTCAAAAAGGCAAGTAAACATTCCTTCTGTAGATAGCAATAGCACTTAGACTTATATACCACTTCACAGTGCTTTTACAACCCTCTCTAAGTGGCTTACAGAGTCAGCCTATTGCCCCCAATAATCTGGGTCCCAATTTTACCCACCTCGGAATGATGGAAGGCTGAGCCAACCTTGAGCCTGGTGAGATTCGAATTGCCAATTTGCAGACAGCTGGCAGTCAGCAGAAGTAGCCTGCAGTACTGCATTCTAACCACTGCACTACCGTGTCTCAGATTATGCTGAAAGGCCCCAAAGACACATGGCTTGGATCAATCCATGAGCTGGCAATAGTTAGCTTTCTGCAGTCCAAGTACTTGCCATTATAAGGTTTCTTAATATCCATGATGCTATATATCAGGCATCAAGCAATAAAGCATACATTACTTCTAGGAAATGAACATTGACAAAAAGGCTTGAAGAATTTACTAATATACAATATTGCTTTGCCCATTTTATTCCAAAGTGTTCCTTTAAATACAAATCCAAGACGAATTTGTCTTTTGAAATGCAAAATATTTTTTCAACCCATTCTCCGTTTAAAATTTTCCTTTATTGTTAGTCTAAATAGTCTCAATAAATGATACTGAAAACATACAACTTTCTTAGTCACTTAGAATTCAAAAAAACAGAAAAATGTAGTATTTCTTTTTTCACACAAAGCTCTTTTTTAATTGGCTGACATTTAACAAGCACTTGTAGCAACTTTCATAAGATAGAACTTGACATCGTTTAAGCCACTGGTTAGAAAACAAGATACAGTATAGCAGAAAAACCAAACAAACATTTATTTTGTAGGCTACTAGTTAGATTTGCCGACAAGAAACAAGAAATCTCTCAAAGCTATAGGTCCCCCGCTTTTAATACAGCATAAATAAGTTAAATATATACAGCTGATCTCTATTGACTTTAACTTATCTTACCCTAAGATAAGGTCCTATTTCCATATATAAAAATAAAATGTAATATGATCCCAACTTAACAAGAAACAAAAATATTACCTATACACAATGCCAAAAATTATTCTCATACAGTAATAGATGCTTTGGTGCAATCCCACAACAACTGAATTACCATTTGAGCACTATTGGCAAATTCACTACCAGTCAATTGCAAAAGGCAGTTTTACTTGGAACAACTTACATCCTATGATGAGATTTGTAACACTGTCAAACATCCGCCCCTCCCTATCCCAGGTGCTTGGGAAGGACTTGATAGGTGGACAAAAATGCCAAATCCAATCTGACATTTGTCTGACTGTGTGACGAACCATAATAATGTCTATGCACAGACTAGATACATTTAGATTTCTGAATGAAATTCACCCCAAATCATGCAATTAGAATGCCTTTGACTTCAACAATGCCTCAGATCACTCATTAGCAAAAGCTGCTCAGAATGAAATACTGATATATATATAGTGGTTTTAATACCACTTTATAAGGCCACACTTGAATTATATATATATATATAATTCTGAACTAGCCGATAACTTGCCGTTGCCTGGGTATTTATTTATAGGGGGACCAAATGTAATTTCTAATGTTAGATTTTCCTCCTTACCAGAGGGAGCCCCCTTGTGGAGTACTGTGAAGCTGTTACCACGGCAACTCCATTGCGCTGTACTGTAGAACCCATTTTAAGGCACAACAGGCTGTATGTTAACATAACACACACACCCCAAGGGGTGTTAGGGGTGTATTACCCCCACAGTATTTGTTTCCAGAGAATAAGTTATCTGTGTACCAAGTTTGGTTGAAATTGCTCAAGGCGTTCCAGAGTTATGCTGAAAGATACACATACTCACACACAGTCATTTTTTATATATAGATTAATAATCCAGAGTTTTATTTCTCTTTCCTTTGCATCATAATATGAAGAAATGCTAAAAAAAAAGATGAAGCAAGTTTGTTTTCTATTTTTCTAGGGAGTGAAACAATTTGAACAGGGAGAAAACCGTAAATTTAATTATTCTGTAAATCATATTTATTTGTTTGTTTTTATTCACATATAAAACTTAAAGAACGCCCATCAGACCACCCACAGAGCAATTCATCATACATTTAATATCAATATGTTTTTTAAAAACAACAACAACAGCAGATGTCACCAATTATAGCAATTTCTCAAAATATGTACCTTCATTTATAAGAAAAGGAGAAGCTAAAATATAGAAATACTTAATTTTCTACTTGATTTCCTGTTTGATAATTAACATTTTGAAACAGACGTGCATCCTCTCAGTTCAAGACTTTATGCTCATGTCAATGCAAAATATCATTGTGGGGGGGACATAATTACTATATAATGGCAGTCTTCACCGCATCTTGCCAGAAACTACTCATAAGGGCCATATTTCCACACAGATGGATAGGTGAAAAATGTAATGATATTTTGATCATCTTATCAAGAACAACAAACATCCAAAGCATGTTTCAAAGCAACCTTTAATCTTTTTTTTCTAAAACAATTTTTCTGGTCAGTTAGTTATATTTATTGCAATTTTTAAATTCCCAAAATGTTTTTTTTTAACACTGTTGAAACATTTCCCCCCTGCCCCCCCCCAAAAGACGAGGAAACAATTTTACCTTGCGGATTCCTCTGCTCAGTTCCTCTCCGTAGTTTGTCCCTAGGATCTCAAACAGAACATTGGGGTTTCCTCCATTTTCTGCAAACTCCAAGTCTCCTGTCAAGCCATTCACTCCACCCTTAAAAACAAGAGAGAGAAAACTTTCAGAGGTTTAAAAGGTAAAGGTTCCCTTCACACATATGTGCTAGTTGTTCCCAACTCTAGGGAGTGGTGCTCATCTTTGTTTCAAAGCCAAAGAGCCAGTGCTGTCCGAAGACGTCTCCATGGTCATGTGGCCGGCATGACTAAACACCAAAGGCGCACAAAATGCTGTTACCTTCCCACCAAAGGTGGTCTGTATTTTTCTATTTGCAATTTTACCTGTTTTTGAACTGCTAGGTTGGCAGAAGCTGGGACATGTAATGGGAGCTCACCCTGTTTCACACCACTAGGGACTCGAACTGCCAAACTGCCAACCTTTCTGATCAAAAAGTTCAGTTTGTTAGCCACTGAGCCACTGCGTCCCCTAGGTATATTCAGAGGTTTACTTCATTTCAAATATAGCTTCCTGCCCATATGAACTTTACTCACAACAAAATATAGATGTTCAACATTCATTATTCAAAATGTTTTATGAATCTGTGAACTCTTAATAAGTACAAAAAAGTCCAATAACAACTTGGAAGGAATTTAAAACAGTTGCAATGATTTTAATATATTGGCTATTCTTTTCATCTACTTCTTTACGCTTCCTTTAAAAAAAATCCTGTGCAAACATTTACAAAGGTATCTAATATATATACTGTGTATGTATGTTGCATTTGTGCTGATAAATAAATAAAGGGAGACTAGTATAGATCTATTTCAAGCTATTTAGCTCTCATCAGCTAGCCATACCCTTACTGGGAATCGAACCTGGGCTGTATTACATATTAGGCCGTTATATTACTGTATATTATATACTGTATGTATGTATGTATGTATGTATGTATGTATGTATGTATGTATGTATGTATGTATGTATGTATGTATGTATGTATG